GGGTCCGTGGCTACCGAGAGGTCGTCTCGTTCCAAGGTGACGCCGCGACGTTCAACTTGATGTCGGAGCGCATCGAGCCGATTCCGTTTCGCGCCAAAACGATCGAAGTGCCCAAAAGCACGTGCAACTACCTCTACAGCATCGCCATCGTAACATCGGTCGTGCTGGTGGGCGTGGCTTGCATCACGGCAGCGTATGCTGTTTTCCAGCCATCTCAAGGTGCCGACGGTCTCCATCTCTTGATGTACAGTGCCTGGGGAAAGTATTGGGTGGAGCCAATTGGCAACTTCATCACGTCCTATCCCGTCCTCTACCAAACCGTTTTTAGTGATTGATGTCGCAATAGATTTTATTTTTTATAACAACACGTATTATATTTTTTAATGGTTGGAATGACTAGCCTACAGTGGTACAGAAATGATTACGTAATATCGCCAGTTTCAGAAGTATGGGGTGAAAAGCAGACTAGAGCAAAACACACATAATTATAAGCATTATAGATAGGAAACTTGTACTTTAATACTTGGTAGGACCTCCGTTGTTATCGCGAACTGCTTTGAGTCGGCGTGGCATGGAATCAACAAGCTTTTGGACATAATCAAGTGGCACAGACTGCCACACACGGAGGAGCTTGGTTTTGAGGTCGGGAATAGACTTTGCGGGATGCTTCTTGAGCTCACGCTTCATGTAAGCCCAGACATGCTCAATTGGATTCAGATCTGGGCTTTGTGCCGGGTGAGGAAGGACGTAGTTGCGTGACTTTGCAAAAAATCGGTAACCAATTTGGCGGTGTGGATGGGAGCGTTGTCATGCATGAACGTGAAGTTGCGCGGGAGGCGGAGACTCTGCTGATCACGAGGCAATGCGTTCTTGAGCAGGTCGAGGTACTTGGCGCCTGTCATCTTGCCGTCGCAAAAGCCAGGGAGCCCACACCATTCCAAGACATGGACCCCCAGACCATCACCGTCTGCCGACCGCTCTTGAAGGTCGGTACGAGGCACTTCGTCGTGTACTCTTCGCCTGGGCGACGCCACACAAACACGCGGCCACTCGATCCGCGCACGTTGAACGGGCTCTCGTCGGTAAAGAGCACGTCCTTCCACTTGTCGGTCCAATGAGCAAAGTTCTGGGCGTACTCCATCCGGTTGCGGGTGTGCCGCTTCGAGAGGAACGGTTTCTTGCGCGCAGCGCGACCATTGAGCCCAACGTCATGTATGCGGCGACGGATCGTGCTTGCTGACACACGGACTCCGGTCGTTGCCTCGAGCTGAATGCGCAACTCGAGAGCGCTCTTCTGGCGGTCGCCAAGGACGTCGCGCGTAAGCATGCGGTCAGTGCGATTGCTGGTCTTGCGAGGCCGCCCAGAGCGTGGCGCGGGTGCCAGCGTACGGTGGGCCTTGAAATGGCGAATGATGTTGCCCACAGACGAGGCAGGGATCTCGAGCTCGTGGGATATCTGGCTTTGCGTCTTGCCATCGACGGCCTTGGAAATAATTGCGCGGCGCATTTGCTCCGAGTACTCAGGACCACGCATGATGCTAATTGATAAATGGCAATGCGTTGTAGCCCTTCAGCCGCAACAGAACTGCAATAAAACAAGCGACTTCGATGTCATAAATATGTGCATCTTCAACTTCAACCCAAACTTTTGGATACTGACCACCAAGGTTGTTCTCACTTTTCTCGGCAACCAGAACGAATCTCGATATTTTAAAGATAGCCCCATGTGCAGCTTTTAATTACCTGTCGAATGGCGGTTTACGTGTGCGAATCTGCAAAGAAACGGCTTCGAAATTTTAAAAAATGTTGGCTAGAATCACGCCACCCAATACTTTCCCCAGGCACTGTACGACCCCGA